CCAACACACACACAATACACAGAAACACATACGAGGAGGCACACATGCGACCTCAATTTTTCTAGTGCACACACGACCGCCTCTTATTTATGAGTTGTTGAGAAACATTCACGCCAACGAGAAATTTTTTGTTAATCTCATTTCTCCATTTTTCCCATTTCTGTTTTATTTTCTTGCAAATCGTCATGGAAAGTAATTTGGCGTTACATCATCAGTTGTGCTCTGATAGGTTTGCTGGTTGTCTGCCACGTTAGCAATCATTCCATAGATTTGTTGTAGACATATTTCAAAAGACCTCGATGGCCTTTCAAAGGATAATATTAAAGAATTTTTATCAATTTTTAAAACTGTTATTAAATTTGAGAGGATATTCTGCATTGCGAGTGAAAAACAAAAATACAATCCGAACTGGACTGGACTACAAGTGCTCAAAAGTGGAGATAGAGAAATATCGAGATCATGTTGATGTTGAATCTCACTTAGCAGTCTCTTCAAGATGTCTTTCTTCAAATTTATTTTTAATTCAATTTCACCCGTAACATAATTATTCAAAGCGGATTGCCTACACACACACTCTCACGCACGCACGCACACACTCATGCATACCCATACATGCATAAAAAAAAACAAATAAACAAACAAAAACACATACATACACACGTACGTACGTACAAACCAACAAACAAACGAATACACAACACATGCATACGTACATACAAACAACCTAAAATACGAAATAGCGGCGTTCATTATGTCGATTGTTCCCAGAACAGAACCTGCAAAAAACACTAATTGTCTTACCACACTAATTGTCTTACTGACATTTCGCATTACCTCATGTCAGCATGTGCTGTGCATATTCGTTGTGGTCCACACATTCCACATTGTCTTACAACAGCGTGCCTGCCCGCTGGACTCCACTCGCTTCTCGTTTTGACTTCTATCCGTCATTTTGGCTGATGTTGGATGTTTCAAGGTTGTAAAACTTTTTGTTGGTTTCTATGTTGTGTGTTTTCATAAAATATAATACGCATATTTCTAAAATAATTTTAATTGGGAGCTAAACCCCTTATGAAGTTGCAAGCACGCTAAAAGAAGTCCTAATTGTAAATTTTTTTTATTATTTTTGTTACAATAAAAACTAGTTTTTTTTTTAATATTTGAAATCGAGAATTGGAAATATAAATATATTTATGCAAAATTTATAAAAATATCACCAACTGATTGTTACATGCATACGGAAGGACGAAGATGAACAAGATAGCAACCAAGTTGGTGGGCAGGAAGCGGCAATTTTATGTCTTGTGTAATTGGTGCATATTAAGCATGTTTACGCTTTGTTTGATGGCTCAAATTTGAAGGCTCCTGAATAGAAATGCAGTGGATGATACAAACTTTACAGCCATCCGAAACTGAATTAGTAATCAAACGAACATGAAGGAAAATTTTATTGCTCCAACAATATTCCTCCGCCCAGGAGTGCAGGTCGGCCAGGGATGTTGCCTAGCTTATTAATTTCATCCTAATTTTCAAATATTCACCGTCATTTGAAACAACTTTCACATTTGTTTTCATCAGAAATTCTGATATTCAATATTTTTTTTATTTTGTATGTTGTGGCTTCTCAGCACAATTCTCATTTTAAATTATTTTCACGAACTCGCAACTTCAAATAAGATGTCCGTTGAAACTCTCTACCAAATGCAGAGGAGTAGGCAGAGGAATGAGAACCACGCATCCCAGCAAACCAGCCGTGGAATCGTTCCGCAGAGGATGACAACCTCACTGCCAGTCCAGCAGAAACTGAAGAAATGATGACAGGCATTCTTATTGTTGTCGTTGATATTATTAGATGAAGAGAAACAAACAGAAGAAGTTATTTATGGAGAGAGGTAGGCACCCACGCAAGCGAACACTCACGCGCACATGCACGCATTGGAGAACATACTTGCTGGCGCATATATAATTCACCTGGAACGATAATGAGGACGCTGGAATAATTTCATAAATTAGTTGGCGCTAGTCAAATGCGGACGTTCACGTGCGTTTCATTGCATGTTTCTTTAAAAAGAGGTATTTGTAGATATGTATTTGCGCCCTGGTTTATGGAGATATCAATAAGTACGTACGTGTTTGTACGCTGATACTTGCAGGTATTCATACACATGTGTATGTGTTTTTATGCTGGTACGTGAAAGCATTTCTACGTGTGTGAAAGTGGAATGTATTCTTGCGCTTTTCGTGGAGGTATTCATACGCATGTGTTTGTACGCAGTACGTGAATATATTTATACGTATGTACATCACAGGCCCAACAACACTCAATGAATTTAAAAAATGTGTTTGTTGATGTTCACTGCCTGACCAGGAACTTTGCAGTAAGTTGTGGATGAGGATTTCAACAGACACTTATTTTTTACACTAAAAATTTTTACTTAAAATAATAGCACTTGATGCTACTGAGCGGCGAGATGTTGTGGCGGTGAAAAAGTTGAACCAGCTGCTTCAATGGCCAGGCCCTCCAAGCCTTGAGAGACCCCCTCCTACCGCGTGCAATGCCTGCCATTCGTGGATTAACGCCTACTTTTATGCTCTTTCTGGTGCCTTTAATAATTTATTATAAAGAAATAATAATAATAATAAAAATATTTTATTGACAGTGATGACGATGTGCAGAAAAAAGATTGGATATAATTTCACCTGGCTAGTAAGATACTCTTGCGCAGTGGGGATGTATGTTAAAAGAATGGAAATAAATGGTTCGTACTAGGAACGTCTGAATGGGTAGGTGCCGCTGAGTTGGCGTTTCAAGTTATTTCATTCAATTCTATCAATACTGTTCGACTAAATGTGGTTGGTGTGTTGGTGGTTGTGATATGTTGGTGGTTGTGATTTGTTAGCTGTTGCGATATGGTAGTTGTGGTGATCAGTATCTTTCAGTTGATTTCAAATGAAATACTTTCGTTCGTTTCGTTTGCTTGTTCGTTCGTTAAATGTAATAACAACAACAACAACAACAACCACAACAACACTTATAATAATAATAATAATGTCATTTTTATGGAGCGCCATGGCGAGCGACTGAGGCGCATTATTATTGTTACAACAACCGACGGACGGTGTATAAATGTACGTTAATCAATGCATCACACATTTTTGGCGGGGATTGCTTCATTTTCGAACCCGCTCACTGCGTCATCAGTGCCAGGTGCCTTAACCGTTGCACCAAGTGTTGGTTGTTGAGATGTGCAGTCTTGATATTCTGATAGGTTAGTTTATGTACTGTGTTTGGATGGTTTTTAACTTGTTAAATGATGAAAAAGGAAGAGATAGTACGTCATCACTAATTTGGTCTGATAAAATTAGTGATAAATACTTTCATCATCGTCATCATATTTGTCGTCATCATCGTCATCGTCGTCGTCGTCATCATCATCGTCGTCATCATCAACTTTGTTGCTATCATCATCGTCAGCGTTATCATCATCACCATCGTTATCATCATCATCTTCGTCATCATCATCATCGTCATAATTATTAGTAGCAGCAATGTCATTCATCACCGGTGATAATCGTCTCCATAGAAATCATTAGACGGGGGAATGCTTGGATGATGACGTGCTGGTGAGTGCGAGTGACGATGATGATGATGATGGTGGTGATGACGTTATAAGGCTGATGATGATTAACTTTAAAGTGATCATGATGAGAAGGAGGATGATGACAATATGAAGATGGATTATGTTGGTGTTGATTATGATGACGATGACGAAGATGGATGATTATGCATATGATGATGATGACGATGATGATGATGCATATGATGATGATGATGCTGCTGCTGATGATGATGATGATGCTGCTGATGATGATGATGAGGATGATGAGGATGCATATGATGATGATGACGATGATGATGATGATGATGACGTAATAACTCATCTAACTTTACAAAAAAATTTTTTGGTGTTGCAAATTATAATGAAGTTGTCTACATGGCGGTGATAATGATAATAATAAGAAGAGGAATACTAACGCCGATGGTAATGATGATGATGATAATGACGATGATGATGATGATGATGATGGTGGTGGTGATGATGATGGTGGTGGTGATGATGATGGTGGTGGTGGTGATGATGATGGTGGTGGTGATGATGATGATGCCGGTGGTGATTATGATGATCAAGATATTGATGATAAGTACAGTGATAAAAATAGTGATGATGGTGATGATGATGATAGTGGTGGAGATACTGATGATGATGTTGACGTCGATGACAACAATAGAAAAAGTGATGATGTTGAGGATGAAAATGTTTAACATTTATGATAAAATTTGCTATAATGTAATGAGAATGAAAACAAGCAGACAGGCAATTGTTGAATTTTGACATGAAAAACTGAATGTTGATAACAAGAGTGATAGATAATGATGAATGAAGAGAAACTTTCGCGAAAAAATAATCACAATATAAGTGAAGATGATAAAATTGATGATAAAGATGGTGATGATAAAGTTAAGTACGGTTCGAAAAATTGAAAGATTTTTCAGAAAAATACAACTAACTTTGCGTTTTGAACATCCACAACCACACCAACCACACAAGCCACATCGGCCACACCTTATACGTGAGCTACACAAGCCACATGCTTCTCGGAAACACGAAAGCACTCAGGAAATATATTAACGTTTTGTTCTTTAAAAACATCTCGTTTATGAATTATAACATTGTCAGCTTATGTATATTTATAGAAGTTTTGTGGAAATTAATGCTAGGAAGAATTTTTAGAATAATTTATAACTTAATTAACTACCTATTTGTTTATGTATCTTTCCATTTGTACATCTATTCAATTATGTATCTATTTGCTTATTAATTAATTAATTTATATATAGAATCATCTGGCAAACAATAAATGTATGGCAACAAAATTAAAAATTGATTTCTGAGCTTTCAAGATTCCAAACTTAATAAAGCGAACTCAGAGATAAATTA